CCTTTCAGCTGTATCTTGCTGCTCACCTGAAGAGTCTGCCTTTCCCACTGTATGCTTTTGCAACCTACAACATTTCAAAATACCTTTTTGAATCCTTCTATCTTCAGTGCAGGGAACTGTTCAGCAGCACAGAAACTCTGCAGTACTTGAATCAAAGCGGCTTTGATGCAGTCCTCACAGACCCTGTTTTTATGTGTGGAGCAACAGTTGCTAATTACCTTTCGCTTCCATTTGTGTTCTTCATGAGAGGATTACCTTGCAATCTACACTTTGAAGCCGAACAGTGCCCAAGCCCTCTGTCGTATGTCCCCAGAACATTTTCATTCAATTCAGACCACATGACATTTTTCCAGAGAGTGGAAAATACACTGATTTCTCTTCTGGAGCGCTTTTACTGTTATGGTTACTATCAAGCTGCAGTACAGCTTTCCTCTGAAGTTCTTCAAAGAGATGTAACTCCGATAGACCTCCTGAAGTCTGCTTCTATTTCAATAATGAGATTTGACTTTGTGTTTGAGTATCCCAGACCAGTGATGCCCAATATGGTCTTTGTTGGAGGTATGAACTGTGCTGAGAAGAAACCACTGCCTAAGGTATGTTCATTTTCTCAAATTGCACATTTCCCAAAGCGATGTAATTTCATGGGTAGTGGACATCTAGTGCTCTTGATTTTGTTCTTTTTTTTTTCCTAATGATTTAATTTGTGAGTCTTGACATATTTTTTTCTGTGGTCTAAGATGCATGTGGGATATCCACAGTTAGATCCAGGTTTGTCAGAGCCCCATCTTTACCTTGAAAGTTTCCAGGGATGGGGCTTACACCAAATCTCTTAGCAATCTGTTCCAGAGCCTCACCACCCTTCACTGTAAGCAAGTATTTCCTAATATCCAACCTAAATCTCCCCTCTGTCTGCTTGAAACCATTTCTCCTTGTCCTGATACTATTGACCCTGCAAAAGAGTCTGTCCCCTTCTTTCTTATAGCCCCCCTTTATATACTGAAAGGCCTCTCTTAGGTCTCCCCAGACCCTTCTCTTCTCTGTGCTGAACAGCTCCAGGTCTCTCAGCCTGTCCTTGCTGGGAGATGTTCCATCCCTGAATTATTTTTGTGGCCCTTCTCTGGACGCTCTCCAACAAATCTATGTCTCTCCTGAACTGAGGACTGCACATCTGGATGCAGTATTCCAGGTGAGACCTCACCAATGCTGGGTGGAGAGACTGAATCACCTCCCTGGACCTGCAAATCTATGAATTCCCACATTTTCTGTGTGTGCACTTCAGAAAACTGACTCCCACCTCTCAACACCCCATATTCATCCCTCTCTGGGTATTGGTTATTTATAATGTAGTTGCTTACATTACTGCCTGTGTGTGGCCGGGAGCTTAGAGGCTTAGTTTGTTCGTTGAAGTTTTCTCTGTGTTATCAGTGGGACTAGTAAAAGATATCCAAGACTGCTGTGTTGTGCCCATGAAGGTATTTGCTAGCTTCCTTTCCATTCACCTGCCCTGAACCCATCATTTAGTTGTTGCTGTGTTTTTTGTTTCTGTCTGGTAGCATGGCTTTTTTCTTCTCTTTCCTTCTCTTCTTCAGATTTGGAATTGCATGGTACTTTCTGGTGTTCATGATAGGACACACAGTTTTGACTACTTGGAGGAGCTGTGAATTAAACGTCAGCCTTCTACATACTGATTAGGCACTTTTCAGTTACACCAACCCATAAAAGAAATGGAATTGGAATTTCCACTCTCTCTCATGAGCATATTTTAAAGGTTTCCTTTAGAAAGTACAAAGACTTTCATAGTGGTAGATGCCTCCAGTGTTATTAAGAGATGATGCAGAATTATAAAATAGTTTGAGTTGGAAGGGACCTTAAAGCCCATCCCCTTTGAATCCCTGCTATGGGAAAGGACACCTCCCACAGACCAGGCTGCCCAAAGCACTATCCAGCCTGGCCTTGAGCATTGCCAGGGGTAGGGTATCCACAGCCTGTGCCAGGACCTCACCACTCTCGTAGTAAAGAATTTGTTCCTTGTATCTAATCTAAATTAAATTTCTTACAGTTTAAAACCATTGTCCTCATCCCGTATACTACACCCTTTGATAACAAGTCCCTCCCCAGCTTTCCTGTGGCCCCCTTTAAGCATGAAAAAGCCACAGTGAGGTCTTGCTGGATTTCTTTCTTCTCCAGGTTGAACAAGCCCAGCCCTCTCCAACCTGTACTCATGTTTAGGATTGCCCCATGCCAGGTGCAGGACTTTGCACCTGGTCTTGTTGAACTTCATGACATTATCATGGGCCCCCCTCTCAAGCTTGTCCAGGTCTCTCTGGATGGCAAGCCCTTCCCTCCAGCATGTCAGTCCCAATACAGACCCCTGAGGGCAGCACTTGTCACTGGTTTCCACCTGGACATCAAACCATTGAATGCAACTCTTTGAATATAACTGTCCAGCCAATACCTTATCCGTTGAATGGTTCACCCATCAAATACACATATTTTCATTTTATAGGCAAGACTGCTGTCCCAGGCCTTGCTAGTTACACAATGAAAGAGCATGCTGACCTGCTTCTAAGGTTAATGATTAAATAAATTAAAAGTACAAAGGGGGACAGCTTTTTTCAAGAACTCTGTACTTCTTTCCCTGTTATATACACAGTTGTCATCAATTGTTGAACAATTACCTCAAAATTTTGGTAAGTTAAATATTTCTTTCTGTAGTCAATAATTATTTTCCTGTGGGTAAGTTAAGCTTACACAGACCTTCATATAAAGGACTGTGGTGGGTGTCTCCAGAGCAGAACTCTACAGCTTACTTTCAGTGAAATGGCTCTTCAATTTCTGTGTTTTTACCAACGTACTGGGATATTTTTTCTTCTTCTATCATCTTTAATCTTTGCGGAATGTGGGAAGATCCTGGTGATACCTCAGGATGGAAGTCATTGGCTCAGTATGCGACCAGTAGTAGGAAAACTCCAGCAAAATGGACATGATGTTGTTGTGGTTGTACCGTCATCAAGTTTTTTTATGAAGACAAAGGAACATCAAAATTATACAGTGAAAGTATATCCAACACCTTATACAGATGAGCATTTACATGGCGTGCTCAAGTCATTTGTTAATGATCATCTTACTGAGCAATCTACATTGAAAGCAATCATCACAATGTATCACAGCATTGTAGAAGCTTTCAGGTTTTTTTTCACCACATGTCAGAGCCTCTTGCACAACAAAGAAATGATGCAGTATTTGAGAAAGAGCAAATTTGACATCGTTTTCACAGATCCAATTCTGATGTGTGGACCAATACTTGCTGATTATCTTTCAGTTCCTTCTGTCTACTTCTTGCGAGGATTTCCTTGCGGTATGGATTCAAAAGCTACCCAGTGTCCAAGCCCTCCTTCTTATGTTCCCAGGCTCTTCCTAAATAATTCCGATAGCATGACATTTGCTCAGCGTGTGAAAAACATGCTGGTCAATATACTGGAGCTTGTTTACTGTCAGCCTTTATTCACTCTATTTGAAGAACTTGCGTATGAGATTTTGCAAAAGAAAGTGACTGCTACAGACCTTCTAAGCCATGGATCTGTCTGGCTCATGAGATATGATTTTGCCTTTGAATTTCCAAGACCAATAATGCCAAACATGGTTTTTATTGGAGGGATAAACTGTGCTCAGAAGAACAAGCTGTCTCAGGTATAGAACTTTATTTTATTTGTATTGAAAACCAAGAACAAAAGTATGTAAGTATCTCACATTGAAACTTCACTAAAAACACCTTCTTATTTAAAAATAGAAAGCTCAAAAATCCTGCAAGATTCATAAATATTATTTGCCAGTACCCAGCATTCTGATTAAATCATATCCTGGCAATCCTAAAGTCTTATCAAATAAGAAAACTTAAGTTACATGTAAACAGTATGCAAATGATGAACTGTTTTTTTGAATTGAAGCTCATCTGGATTTTGGCAAGTGGCAGGCATTTCTCTCCTAAAGAAGTTGGTAGCTTCTATTTTATCTAAGTTTCTAATGCTACATCCGCCTGCAGAAGAGCAGGCACCACAATCATATTGCTACATAGCTCTGAAAGAGTAGCCTGAGGAACACACATAGACACTGTCTGGTCTTTGTCTGCTCTACAGTGTTCAGGACTGTCCATCTGGACACATCAGGCACTTGCTGCCATGCCAGGAGCATTCAATCCACCTGCTTTGGTGGCTATGGGAGCTATGGACTCTAGGTGTTGCCATCTAACTGTACTGACAGTCATGAAAAGCTTGCAGGATAAAGGGCACCCAATTACTGTTGTTGAAGGCAGCTTTGGCATCAGTGTTGAAGATTGGCATGGGCATTTCTGTGCATGTGCATCTATATATCCATTCTCCTTTTTCATTCTTGAAGGTTATAGGACTAACATTTTTGCCATTTGTCAATTGTATTTCTGTCCATTCAGTCAGGTAGATTGAATTACCTCTTTCTCTTTATGTCAAGGTGTTAATATAAACTGAAAAAGAAATAAAACGCACATGAGGGTTAAAATTTGGAAAAAGTAGCAAATATATAAGCTGCAGCCAAATCTAAACCCCAGAAGAAAGCCTTTCAAAAATACATCCTCTTGTTCTTTTTAAGTTATTTAATTAGATTCTAGGCATGGATGTCTTCTATAAATTCCCATACAGGTTTTTGGGTGAGAGCCAGACCTCTGAATCAAATCTGGGGGGGGGGGGGGGAAAGCAAAAAAGGAGTGTTCAAGAATTACATCTTCTAAGTGCACCTGAATCAGAATTGTGTAGAACAAAGCCCTGATATCTTCTCTTTTGTTTAGATAAGTATGTTTCGTATTTGTGTTGGAGGTGACTGAGACAACCTTTGTACCACAAGAGTCTTTAGGGCCACAGAACGAAGCAAACCACCTGGTTCTCTCTATCTGGTTAGAGATGTCTGAATAAAAGGAAAAAGAATAGCCATTGCTTGTACAGTCTTTCAAAAGGACATAAATTATAAGTAGGAAAGATCACTGGTCTGATATTAAAGACTCAAGCAGATGTCTGTGAAAGCCCCATGAAGGAAGCACGTGGCTGTCTGTATTCATACGTCAGAGCCTAGCTTGATTTCACCTAGTGTTCATCAGCCTTTGCTATGGTTATGAGTAACAGGCCTGTCTGTGTATCACCTTTTCCTGAGCTGTTTGAAAATTCACATTAATCTACTACCTTTGTCATAAACTATGGATATGTGGATAGTGCAGGTGGTAGAGCTAGATGTTCTTTTTGAAGGTAGGTTCTCATTGAGGTTAAAGCTTTCTCACAAGGCTTGGAAATAAGTAGGTGGAAAATGCAAAGGAAAGAAGGCCCCACCAGTGTTGTAGAGCCTTGGATGCCTGAAGTAACAAACTGTGTGCTGAATGCAGGATTTTTCATTGTAGATAACACTTTCCTGGTCACATACTTATATATAAAGTTTTACTGCAGCAGGCAAACACCAGTAATGACTCAGCAGTTTAGATCAGGAAGGATCTGACTCCACAGAGTTCATGGGCTGTGTCAGCCTTAAACTGAGTTCATACAGACCTTGGACTCACAAGTTCATCAGCTAGAGACACGTTGGCTTATGTTAGCTGAAGGTTGGTGGTTCTGTTTTGCAATAGTTTTGCAGTTGATAGGGTAAGAGATCAGATGGAAGTTTTATGTTTAAACGGGGAGAGATTTTCAGTTGGGTACCTATCTTCAAAAATGCAGTTTCAATTCAGTGGAAAAAAAACTTCATAGTTTTTCTCAATTTTACCAACTAGTTTGCTTTTTTTAAAAAACAAAAACAAAAACCAAAAACGAAAAAACACAGGTACTTCCACACTGATTTTTCATATTTATCTATTATACCCCACTGCACAATTTGCCTATGCTTTACTAGGAAAAAAATACTTATTAAAAAATACCAAGTTATTGCACTGTAACAACTCTGACAGAATTCAGTGAGGTGAAGCTGTCCAACTCTGTATGGCTAAGAGAAATTCTGGTGTGCTCTTTACAAACCGAGTAGCACCATATCATGTAATCCAAACAGTGTTTCTGGACAGCCATGCTGTGGATGAATTTTGTCACGTGTTCCCAAGTACCCTGGCGTATGTTGTCAGTAAATGCCCAAGTCCAGTTTCTTCTGTCCTCACAAAGAGCTCCAGCAGCTGCACAAACCACACGGCAGTCTGCATGTGGGTGCTCATCCCACTTGCCAACATGTCAGACAGCCTGCTGTCTAAAGACGTTTGTGTTGGGTTCTGGGACACTGGTTTAAGGTCTGGAGTGATGCGATGTGCATCCAGCATTGTTTTATCAAAGGTCTCCATTTGGATGCCAAGATTCCAGTTGTGTAACAGCCCACCTTCTCTTCACTTACTGAATGAACAGCAAGAACGGGAAAACCCTGTGAGAGGTGCATGCATTTGAGGCAGATGTTTTGTGTGTGATGGGAGAGGAAGCCTTAAATGGGAGTGAAAGTATCACACACATTTGTGAGAGAATTTTCCACTCTGTGACAGATTTTCTGTGCACAAGCTTTCCGTTTTCCCTTGCATTGGTGTTGCCGTAAGATGGCTAGGATGGTCCCGTCCTATTTCACACGTGTTGAAAATAGCCAACACCCTTCGGTCATGCTGATATAAACTATGAGCTGATTTTAGATAGTATATAAGTTCAATTCAATCACATGAATGAGTAAAACCTAGGCATGGTTATTCCTAACTTATTTGCCAATATGAAGGTTCCAATTTGCAGACCCAGGTTTAAATGATCAGCTGAAGGTGACCCAGCATTGACTGAGCACCTGGGAAATGTTCTCTTACATACAAGGGAAGTCAGAAACCTGCATTTACCTTGGCATCCCCAATAAATACTCACCATCTCTGAGTGAGAGATGCTATGGCATGTTCACTAGCTCACTTAACAGCCACCCACAGCACCTCATCCTTAAACCATGTCTGGGAAAGGAGCAAAAAGATTAGATAGGTGCCCAGATATCACCATCTGATCTGATCACTAGGCAGGGAATAGGTCTCCATCTCCTTCCTACATCACAGCTACAGTAATTCTGCATTGAATAGATGTTGCTGTGTGAGAACAGAAAGAGATTGCAGAGATTTGTCTTTCTAGTGATTATTTCAAGTGTATGGATTCTAGAGGAAAATAATCAGCTTTGGGAGGTGTAGTTGTAGCTAAAATCCAAACTTTTCTAGGCAAAGTGCAAGCGACAGGCAAGAGTTAATCCCAGCTCCTTGCGTGACTTGCGTTCGTGTACACGAAGTTATTAACGCCTGCCCCTGTGAAACAGTAACTGAGCCCAAGGATAAATCCCCGCCCTTAGTGTTACAGTGAACATCTCCCCGATGACTCAGCTTATCTCAGAACAACAGTTCGCATAGTTACATCAATCAGCCAACACTGAACATAGCCAACTCACTCAGCAGCTAGCAGTCCTCTATCTCCCAGTGTAACCAGAGGCAAGAAAAGTGAATAGGAGAGATGGGGGCTGCTGCGGTTTGGGTAAGACAAGGGGGGGTCTGCACTGATGGGCTGCTGATGCTAAGAAGGTCATCAGTCTGTGGTACTGGTATGGAAAGGAGATGGGTGAGGCACTGAGTTGTAGTCACAGTATGGGAGAGCCAAGTTTATGACAGCAGTCAGACCTTTCTCGTGCTTGTACACACCTGATTTTGAAGTCCAAAACCCATTTCAACATTTTATAATCATCAATCTCCTGACATGAATCCAGTTGCGTGCAAACTGATAAACATGTGAAACAGTAAATCAAAAGGGCAAAAGTATCATTGCCAAGTGCTATATTTGAGCAGGTGGATTGAAGCCTCAGAAGCTTTCAAACCACCCAGCTGGCTCTTGCACGGATTTCTTTCCACCTTGCAACATGCTGATGGCAATGCTTCTCCCCTTCTTGTGCTGCTTGAGTACTGCTGCTGCTGGGAAGTTGCTGGTGGTCCCGATGGATGGCAGTCACTGGCTCAGTATGAAGGAAGTGCTGACTGAACTGAGAAGGAAAGGGCACGAAATAGTTGTTGTAGCACCAGACAGCAATATCCTCATAGATTCTTCAGGGACTTTCACGATGAAGACGTATCCTGTACCATACAAGCAGGAAGAGATAGAAGAGATTTTGCATAGTTTTGGCATGACCAGTTTCAGTGAACGGCCTTTTCTTACCAGATTTTTGGATACTTGGGAACATTTTAGAAAGTCTTCTGCTATGTTTCAAGCTTCCTGCAGTTCCTTACTGTACAAAAAAGAGCTGATGAAATTTCTGGAAGAAAGCAAATTTGATGCAGTCTTTACAGATCCTCTGACACCCTGTGGACAAATAGTTGCTCTGCATTTGTCTATTCCTACTGTTTTCTTCTTGCGGGGTATTCCATGTTCTATAGATACTTATGCTGCCCAGAGCCCAAGCCCAGTGTCCTATGTCCCACGATGGTTCTCATTCAGTACAGATCATATGACATTTCCTCAGAGAGTGAAGAACGTACTGATAAGCATTTCAGAGTATTTTACCTGCAGTATTGTCTTTTCACCGTTTGAAAGACTGGCCTCAGACTTTCTCCAAAAGCCTATGACGTTGACACAGCTTCTAAGTCATGGATCTATTTGGCTGAAGAGAACTGACTTTGCCTTTGACTATCCCGCACCTGTGATGCCCAGTATGGTTTTCATTGGAGGCATAAACTGTGGAAGGAAGAAGCTGTTACCTCAGGTTAGTGAGTGACTGGGAAATGTTCTGGTAGTCATATGCTTGCATGGTCTGTGCCAGATCTAAAGGCATTTCATATGGACATTACTTACCTACAGGTGTTATTTAGAGTAACTGTTTCTGTATCACAATGCATGTGAGTAACAGTGGTGTCGTTGAGCAGCAGAAGACATGATTCCATCTTCTTCTTTCCGACCTGCCCCACACAGGGATTTTGTTCTCTAAGGAATGCTATGCTATATTTAATTCCAGCTGGTCAGGTACACAAACTTCACCTGGTCCAGGAATTAATGCATAAAAGTGCAGGTGGACTTAACAGTTCTTCCAAATATTCTTTGCCCCATGAGACAATAGTGTATTTCTTCAAGAGCACTAGCTGTTTATCCAGTCAGAAAAGTAACTCACTGGGTTAAGTGCAATAGCTTTATTTGCTCTTTTCTGTAACAGTGGTGTTGTGCTTGGTTTGAGTTGAAAGGCTAATACTTTATTATAGGGAAAGTTACAGTCTAGCAACAGTTTCCATCACAAAAACTAGGCAGCTGTTCTTTCATAAGACATCCAGTTCAGATAGAAAATGTTTTCCTGTAAATATTGTGGGGTCTTTAATGCTGATTACCTCTTGCATGTGTGTGATGCATGTTGACTTTCTGGTGTTCACGATGTACTACATTAGCTTCATGATGTGCTACATTAGCTTGTAGCTACATGTGATGTGTCTCAGCTTCTTGCTTGCTTGTGATAAGTACAACAGTCTCATGCTGTGAAGGCAGCCATTAAGTAGAAAAGGATAGATGGGAAGAGATAGCACTCCTCAGCAGCTGGTGAATCTCCAATTAATGGCATCCAGCAGTTTCAGCAGCAAATCACGTTGTTTCTTGAAAGAGATAAAAGTTTTGTCCTATACAAATGCCCCTTACAAAGAAACAGGCATTTCTCTGTTCTTCCCTTGAACGTTTTTCACTTCTCTGTGTCATACATATTGTATGTATTCCTCCCTGCCTGTCAGCTCTTCTATTCTTCCTGTAAATGCATATGCCTTTGTGATTATGAATTAAGGATGCTTTATAGTAAAACAGATTTGCATTTTACAAGCTTGCACACCTTCCCCAGATCCAACCTTATCTGCCCTCAGGCTGTGCTTAATTCCTCCCATTACTTCACCTGATGCTGCCCATTGTTAGTACTGTTTACTTCAGCTGAGCAACTATTGCTCAGGTCTTGCTTACTCACAGAAAAGTCTTTTGTTTCCCTGTTCTGTTCATCTGACCTGTTTAAAGGCTGCTTCAGGGGCAAGCCCAGACAGACCCTCCGGGAAAGCAACGGGACCAGTTTGCCTGCACGCAGTTCCACTTCAAATTTCGACTCTCCTCTAAAACCAGAGCTCACTTTCACCCTTATCTTGCAAGGGTTAAAAAGTTCAGGGTCCAGCATATTTTTATTACTGATTCCTTAATAGCATTCCAGCCCTTTATTTGTTACCTTCTAGATGTAGCTAGGCATCACAGTTATATGTAAAAGAAAAATGTAATGCTGAAGGTTAGCACATGTCTAAAAAAAATGCTTGCTAACTGCTCAGGCATGGTATTTTAGTTTTAGTTTTTCCTCTGAAATAAGAACACCATGGCTTGCCATTCAAAAACAGTTCTTGTTTTGAAAGTGCTATTGATTACTTCTGCCCGGGCTTTAACTAACTGGGTACCAAGGGATCTGAGTGGCTTTATTTTCATGCAATTCTTGTCAATTGGCAGTTAACATTCTGGTTGCTCTTTCAGTTTACAGAATCACAGAATTGTAGGGGTTGTAAGGGACCTCCAGAGCTCATCGAGTCTAACCCCCTGCCAAAGCAGGTTCCCTACAGCAGGTCGCACAGGTCAGCATCCAGGCAGGTCTTGAACATCTCCAGAGAAGGAGACTCCCCCACCTCCCTGGGCAGCCTGTTCCAGTGCTCCGTCACCTCACTGTACAGAAGTTCCTTCGCACATTGGTGCAGAACTTCCTATGCCGCAGTTTCCAGCTGTTTCCCCTTGTCCTGTCTCCACTCACCACTGAAAACAGTCTGGCCTCGCCATTCTGCCCCCCACACCTCAGATATTTATAAACCTGGATCAGGTCCCCTCTCAGTCTTCTTTTCTCAAGGCTGAACAGACCCAGTTCACTCAGCCTTTCCTCATAGCAGAGATGCTCCAGGCCCCTCACCATCTTTGTGGCCCTCCGCTGGACTCTTTCCAAGAGAGCCCTGTCTTTTTTGTGCTGGGGAGCCCAGAACTGGACGCAGTGCTCCAGATGAGGTCTTACCAGGGCAGAGTAGAGGGGGAGGATCACCTCCCTCGACCTGCTGGCCACGCTCTTTTTAATGCACCCCAGGATGCCATTGGCCCTCTTGGCCACAAGGGCACACTGCTGGCTCATGGCCAACCTGTCGTCCACCAGGACACCCAGGTCCCTCTCCGCAGAGAGAGTCTTATACGTCCACAGCATGGTTTCCTTATTTTCTTATACATGTACATAGTTTTTTTTCAGTGAATGATTTGTTACACAGCATTATTAGTGCAGTACCTGCTGAAAAAAATGTTATTCCCTGCAGTCCCACTATTCCTTCAGTGCAAATGGATGGGCATTATCCAGTTTAGCTATGGATCAGATGACTGCTAGAGAGTTTGGCTGAACTTTAAAACCTCCAGTTTGTCCATATCAGTGATTATACGTTCACCACAAAGCAAATAAGCATGAAGGTCATCACAAAAAACACAGCTCAGTTAGCTTAAAAGCCCAGAGGTGCTTGTGTTCATGAGAACACCTCTTCCAGAGTTCTGCAGGAATGGCCCTGCCGCTTCCTTCTCATCCACAAGTCTCAGTGTCGCTGCTTCTGCTGCTGTCCATGCTCAGCTTGGCTGTCAACAGTCAAACTGCTGTCATTTTTAACAGCATCTTGAACAGCTCTTTCA